AGTGAAGTCAGAGTTTGATCCACTGCCTGTAAAATGACTTGGAGTCCAGGTGTCTCTAGTGCTAGCATAATAAATGAGGCGTTTGGGAGATTGTCCATCTTTCTGTTGGTACCAGGCTAAATGGTTGTTGTTGTAAACATTCTGACTGGTCCTACATCTGATGCCGACAGATCCTCCCAGATCAGCTCTCACTGCTGCAGGCTGAGTCACTGTGACCTGACCTCTGGACTCTGAGGACACAGAGACAAAAACATAAAGCAGCTTCATGGTTTGTCGGCTTAATTTCAGAGGGACAGATGTTCATAGAGGAGAGGAGTTTGATTCTCTGGATTTTACCTGTGAAGCAGCAGCAGAGGAGAGTCCAGATGAGGACGCAGATCAAAGTCATGTTTTAGATGAGGAGGATTTCTGTGTCTTCTGTTGTCATGAAGGACAGCTGTCAATCATCCAAAGTTCAACTCTCAGGACTATAAACTCTCCCAGAGCGCTGGAGCATGGAGCTGCTGATGCAAAGTGGCTCTATGGAAATAATCTGACTGACTCCAAGACAGACATTAGATTACTAAGATGAATTTACTAATAGGTTTCCCTCTACCTCATGTATTTCTTAATTCATTTTTGTTGAATCACAAAAACTCTACAAAACATAAATAATCTTTGCTATCTTATTACTTTAGAACAAACTGACTGATCATTGGCCATCATAAAATTCTGACAGTAGCAAAACCTTAAGCAAAAATGTCACAGGTCATATAATTATTTATTTATCAATCAAAGAGAAAAAGTGTTTTTATTGAATTTAGAAAGGGATTTATTTTGTCTATAATTTTTTTTCAATTAGAATGCGTTTAATTGCGATAATTTAATTATAGACCCAGTAGTTAATGCAATTAAAAATGTTAATCATGTCCAATATTAATAGTAAAAATATTTTAATCTTAAATAACTATCTGTCCTTCATTGACAGATAAAATATGTATTTATAATCCTCAAACCATTTTATGTCCTTTTCTTTTATCTCTCAGTCATGAGCATTTCAAAAACTTAATATCAAAAAATGGACAAGGCAATCTAAATTAGGCACAGTTTAAGTAAGTGATTCAATTTTCGAACTTATTACACAAAGTAAGTTGTCCTTCACCAATAAACCAACATTGTGATGACAACTCAAGGTAAAACGTACTACTGTAATACAGCACCTGAAAACATATAGCACTTGAGTTTTTATAACTTAGAAATGTAAATGATCGACATTTACATTTCTAAGTATTTAAGAATCCATTTAAAATCCTGTAACTGAGAATGATGAAAAGCAGAAATGTAAATTAAAACAACAAACCAAATTATAATTTTAGCTCAACTTAAAATACATGCAATGTGAAAATATGAGGCTTTAATAAACATTTAATGTCTTCACTGACTGACTGTATGGGTAGAATTGTTCCCCATGGAGAACAGCTGATGCTTATTATTGTTATCAGGTTTAAACTTAGTTGAATCATAGATCCTGTTTAGTAAGGCACAAATTAATGGTATGTGTTATAAATTAAGAAACTGTAGTGGGGAAAAAATCCATCTCCCATTTATTCCTTTTACATATACATATATATATATATATATATATATATATATATATATATATATATATATATATATAAAAAACTGTTTTCTCACCCCTCGTGGGGTGGTATGTGTCATCCTCAAGCTCAGGTCCTCTACCAGAGGCCTGGGAGTTTGAGGGTTCTGCGCAGTATCTTAGCTGTTCCTAGGACTGCGCTCTTCTGGACAGAGACCTCTGATGTTTTACCTGGAATCTGCTGTAGCCACTCTCCCAGTTTGGGGGTCACAGCCCCCAGTGCTCCAATTACCACTGGCACCACTGCTGCTCTTACTTTCCACATCTTTTCTATTTCCTCCTTCAGTCCTTGGTATTTCTCAAGCTTCTCGTGTTCTTTCTTCTTGATGTTGCTGTCGCTTGGGATTGCCACATCTATCACTACTGCCTTCTTCTGCTGTTTGTCGATCAACACAATGTCTGGTTGGCTAGCCATCACCTGTTTGTCAGTCTGGATCTTGAAGTCCCATAGGATCTTAGCTCGGTCATTCTCAACTACCTTAGGAGGTGTCTTCCATTTTGACCTTGGGACTTCCAGCCCATACTCATGGCAGATGTTCCTGTACACTATGACAGCTACCTGGTTGTGGCGTTCCATGTATGCACTTCCTGCCTGCATTTTACACCCCGCTGTTATGTGCTGTATTGTTTCAGGGGCATCTTTGCACAGTCTGCATCGGGGGTCCTGCCTGCTGTGGTAGACCCTGGCCTCTATTGATCTTGTACTGAGTGCCTGTTCTTGTGCTGCCATGATTAGTGCCTCTGTGCTGTCCTTCAGTCCAGCCTTTTCCAGCCACTGGTAGGATTTTTATATATATATATATATATATATATATATATATATATATATATATATATATATATATATATATATATATATATATATATATATATATATATATATATATATATATATATAACTTGTATCTGAATGAACTGTCACACAAGTTGAGAGCTTGTCACACTGGTTGTGTGGCTCGTGACTCTGTACCTATTCACTTGATGTATGCAGATGATTTAGTAATATTTAGCCCTAGTACTGCTGGGTTACAGCCACTGCTTAACAACTGTTCTGAGTATGGTCATGAACACGACATAAAGTACAATCCATCTAAAAGTGTGATTATGATCTGTAGGAGTAAGGAAGATAAATCTACTGAGTTTTCCAGATTTTCTGCTGTCAAATACTGTGCTGGGTGTTACAAACAAAACCACGTATCTTGGGCACATCATCACAGAAAATCTGTCAGACGATGATGATATCTGTAGACAATGTAGATTGTTGTATGCTCAAGCTAATACCCTTGCTCGTGAATTCGATGCATGTACTGATACAGTCAAAGTTGAACTGTTAAATGCATGTTGTACCTCTCTGTACACTGCTCATCTGTGGACTACATATAGAAAAATCAACCTGCAAAGGCTGCAGGTGGTCTATAATAATGCTATGCTGGTACTTTTGAAATGGCCAGGATGGTCCAGTGCTAGTGAGATGTTTGTCACAGCAAGAGTCAATACCCTACAAGCTGTTTTACGAAAGTTAATTTAGAAGTTTGTTTGTAGGTTAAATGCATCTGCAAACGATATTATCTTGTCACTTACTAATACCACACGTAGTGCAATCCGATATCAGTCTAAGCTGTGGGGACACTGGTATTCCTGTCTTCTTAAAGTTCCTGTTTAGTCGATAATGGTACTTGTGTTGTGCTTTTTATCATTAACTACTTTTACCGTATTTTATGTATGTATTTATTGGACCATCAGTCTGGAATAAAGTTTTTATCTATCTATCTATCTATCTATCTATCTATCTATCTATCTATCTATCTATCTATCTATCTATCTATCTATCTATCTATCTATCTATCTATCTATCTATCTATCTATCTATCTATCTATCTATCTATCTAAACTGTTTTCTTACCCCTCATGTGGTGGTATGTGTCATCCTCAAGCTCGGGTCCTCTACCAGAGGCCTGGGAGTTTGAGGGTTCTGCGCAGTATCTTAGCTGTTCCTAGGACTGCGCTCTTCTGGACAGAGGCCTCTGATGTTTTACCTGGAATCTGCTGTAGCCACTCTCCCAGTTTGGGGGTCACAGTCCCCAGTGCTCCAATTACCACTGGCACCACTGCTGCTCTCACTTTCCACATCTTTTCTAGCTTCTCTTTCAGCCCTTGATATTTCTCAAGCTTCTCGTGTTCTTTCTTCTTGATGTTGCTGTCGCTTGGGATTGCTACATCTATCACTACTGCCTTCTTCTGCTGTTTTTTCCATCAACACTATGTCTGGTTGGTTAGCCATCACCTGTTTGTCAGTCTGGATCTTGAAGTCCCATAGGATCTTAGCTCGGTCATTCTCAACTACCTTAGGAGGCGTCTTCCATTTTGACCTTGGGACTTCCAGCCCATACCCATATATATATATATATATATATATATATATATATATATATATATATATATATATATATATATATATATATATATATATATATATATATATATATATGCTCTTCCTCAACGGCATTCCCCCCTTTTTCCTTTCCTTTGCCATTCCTAGAACTGCACTCTTCTGGAAACCAAAACTCAGGATTGATAAAAAAAAAAACACTTTATGTAGCCAAAGACTGTTCTTTGTTAAATTATTTCATATATATTTGATTCCACCACACGCTTTTAAAAAGGCATGGCTATTTTCTACTGTTTTTAATCAACTCGTTGTGAGGACAGCTCTCAGCCAGGAGAGAATGTTAGGTTTATTCAATGATGATTATAAAATTAATGTGTGTTTTTGAAACATTTGTGAAAGGGGATGCTCCACTCCTGTCTCATGATTCAGTCAGGAGACCATCCTGCCTTGTCATTCTGATGGAGCATTCTGTCTTCATGAACTGATTAATTGTTCTGTCAGAACATTACTCTGTTTGTAACCATGCATCATGTTCTGTTAATAAACACTCTGCAGAAGAGGTCCAGTGGGAGACAGTGTGTTTGAGTCCGGGGTTCAACTGTCTCTCCTTCCTGCAGGAATTGTATCCATAAATTGTGTATTTCAGTTCTTCTTAAGCAAAAACCTACATTTTATGAACCCGACAGAGATATATCATGATGCCAACTTCTTTTTTTATGTCTTCATAAATGCTAACATTTAAAGGTCAGATTTGGCCATAAACAAGAATCCTTTTTTAGATGTATTAAAATTTTAAAACTTGAAGGAATTCTGTACAATGAGAAAACAAAACCTGAATCTGCACTAACTATGTGAATATTGTATATCAGTGACACACTGTGTGTCTGTGTTTAATCATCTGTGTCAGAGTCTGTCTAACATTAAGCAGGAGTTTCTTCTCAGTCTGAGTGAGGGAGGTTTTTGTACGACTGTTTTTCACTGTGTGAACACCCACTGACTGTTGATGTAATGAAGACTCTGACAGTAATAAACTGCAGCATCTTCAGCCTGAACTCCACTGATGGTCAGAGTGAAGTCAGAGTTTGATCCACTGCCTGTAAAATGACTTGGAGTCCAGGAGTCTCTAGTGCTAGCATAATAAATGAGGCGCTTGGGAGATTGTCCTTCTTTCTGTTGGTACCAGGCCAAAATCTGGTTGCTGTTGTAAACATGAACATTCTGACTGGTTCTACACCTGATGCTGACAGATCCTCCCAGATCAGCTCTCACTGCTGCAGGCTGAGTCACTGTGACCTGACCTCTGGACTCTGAGGACACAGAGACAAAAACATAAAGGAGCTTCATGGTTTGTCGACTTCATTTCAGAGGGACAGATGTGTATAGAGGAGAGGAGTTTGATTCTCTGGACTTTACCTGTGAAGCAGCAGCAGAGGAGAGTCCAGATGAGGACGCAGATCAAAGTCATGTTTTAGATGAGGAGGATTTCTGTGTCTTCTGTTGTCACTAAGGACAGCTGTCAATCATCCAGTGTTCAACTCTCAGGACTATAAACTCTCCCAGAGCGCTGGAGCATGGAGCTGCTGATGCAAAGTGGCTCTATGGAAATACTCTGACTGACTCCAAGACAGACGTTAGATTACTAAGATGAATTTACTAATAGGTTTCCCTCTACCTCATGTATTTCTTACTCATTTTTTGTTGAATCACAAAAACTCTACAAACATAATTCTTGCTATATTCCTTTAGAACAAACTGACTAGTCATCAGCCATCATACAATTCTGACAGTAGCAAAACCTTAAGCAAAAATATCACAGCTCATATAATTATTTATTTATCAATCAAAGAGAAAAAGTAGTTTTTAATTTAGAAAGTGGTTTATTTTCTCTATATATTTTTTCAATTAGGATGTGAATAATTGCGATTACTTAATTAGAATTTTTTTTATTATGCCCAGTGTTAATTGCAAAAATTTTTAAATCTTAACTATTTGTCCTTCATTCTTTTATCATTCAGAGTCATGAGAATTTTATAAACTTTAAAACAAATATCAAAAAATAGACAAGGCAATCTAAATTAGGCACAGTTTAAGTAAGTGATTACATTTTTGAACTTATTACACAAAGTAAGTTCTACTTACTTTGTGTAATAAACCATCATTGTAATAAGAACTCAAGGTAAAACGTATTTATACAGCACCTGAAAACATGTAGCACTTCAGTTTTTATAACCTTAGAAATATAAATGTTAAACATTTACGTTTCAAAACATTTAAGAATCCATTTAAAGTGCTGTAACTGAGAATAATGAAAAACAGAAATATAAATTAAAACAACAAACCAAATTATAACTTTAGCTCAACTTAAAATACATGCAATGTGAAAATATGAGTCTTTAATAGACATTTAATGTCTCCATTGACTGACTGTATGGGTAGAATTGTTCCCAACTGAGAACAGCTGATGCTTATTATTGTTATCAGGTTCAAACTTAGTTGAATCATAGATCCTGTTTAGTAAGCTACCTATGAATGGTATATGTTATAAAATAAGAAATCAACACTATTAAGTCAAATGTTACTATCTGTAAAAAGTGGTTTATGCATAACTTCTGCCTCAATGCAGCTGTGGATCAGTTCCTCTGTTGCTGAGGGAGGTTTTTGTACGACGTTGTATCACTGTGTGAACGGCAAGCTGTTATCCTGCTGACAATGATAAACTCCTGCATCTTCAGCCTGAACTCTGCTGATGGTCAAAGTGTAAACATTTCCAGACTGACTTCCACTGAAACGATCAGAAACTCCAGGCTGACGGTTTGATACATGATAAATAAGAAGTTTAATGGCTGCCCCAGGTTTCTGAAGGTACCAGTCTACCTCATTGGCAACATTTTCACTAGCTTTACATGTAATGGTGGCAGTCTGTCCTTGAACAACAGACAAAGATTTTGGAGTCTGTGTCATGATTTTGTCTCCTGATGAACCTGGAAGAGAAGAATAAAATATGAATTGGTGTTTTTCTCCATTGTTGTTAAATACAGTACTGTAAAGCTAAGCTTTGAGCAGAGAGTCTCACCCTGAACCAGGAGCTCCAGGATGGTCAGCAGTAGAGTCAGTAGCATCATCATTGTGCTGCTGGTGGTTCAGTGTCTCTGAAAGACCTGGACAGCCTCAGATCAACACTGGGCTCTTAACAGCAGGGAGCAGAGAGGCAGGACACATATGCAAACAGTCAGTCAGTCACATGGTGCTGAACTCTACAGTCCATAATGCCTCCATTTTACAGTTGAAATATGTTTAAAGCTTTTTTGAGTAATGTGGGGAAATTTAGAAGCCAAAATTGATGACATCTGAAGCCTTGCTACTCCGCCATACCACGTGACCGCTTCAGGAAGTGGTTCAGCCCACTCTGGCAGGCATTTAAACAGCATCAGTATTTAGTCAAGATATGGGAGTTTGTAGGAGAGTTGCTGTAACTTTGATGGTTGAATATATTTTAAGAATAGATTGGTTGAAAAAACAACCAATCTAAAACTAATTTGGTTAGATTAAGCAATGTAATGATCAAAATCTGAGCAAGCCACTGGTTACAGCTATAACAATTTTTCTAAGTAGTATTGCCTTCCCCTGATTTGTCACCTTACTATTGGTGTCAGCTATAAGAGATGGACCTTCACTCTTGAGCTTGTAGGTTCTAAACATTTTTAACAAAGAATAAAGTGGTTGTAGGTGAAAACACTGCCAAAGTTAGATTGGTTGGTTTGACCAAATGATTGGTTGTACACATAACTTACAACCTGATTAAAATGTGGAAAAACTATCATGTTTGAATAAAAATTACCAACACCTTTCATTTCACTGTCTGCTTGAGATTATTTCACTAAGATGGCAGAAAACAGTGTAAGTTAAATGATTTTTCTCGTTAAACGATTTACAAAATATTTTATTTTACAGACCGATCATTAACAATTTCAAAGGAATAGGGAGAAAAAAAAAACGGAAAAACAATTGCAACAAACCAGATTACATAACTTGCTGTAGTTATGCACTCCACCAGTAGGTGGTGACATTGTTCACATGAAGCTTCATGAACAGTGTGGATAGTTGAAGCAATTTGGCCAAATGGTTCAATGCCTCATGAGGCTTCATCTCACCATCACTAATTACAGAATTTGCTAATCAATTCCTGCATAAATTGAATGATTTATTGTCTTTTTGATGGTAGTTCATTTTCATTCTGTCAGAGTAATTCTTTAAAAGGAGGATTTATTTAATCAGATCAGAGGTTTTATTTTAAAGTTTAAATTAAGATGCAGTATTAGCTAAAGATAATCACATACATCTTGCTTCCTGTTGAAGTCAATCAGATTATTTCCATAGAGCCCATTTGCATCAGCAGCTCCATGCTCCAGCGCTCTGGGAGAGTTTATAGTCCTGAGAGTTGAACACTGGATGACTGACAGCTGTCTTCAGGATAACAGAAGATACAGAAATCCTCCTCATCACAAACATGACTTTGATCTGCATCCTCATCTGGACTCTCCTCTGCTTCACTCAGGGTGAAAAAAATGATTTTCTGTCATGTGAAAACTATATATATATATATATATATATATATATATATATATATATATATATATATATATATATATATATATATATATATATATATATATATATATATATATATATATATATATATAATCATCTCATGACCAATGTTCCTTCTCTCTCCTCAGGGTCTGATGGACAAACTGTTGATTTGACTCAGCCTGCAGCCAAATCAGTGCAGCCAGGTCAGACCGTCACGATTAACTGTAAGGCCAGTAGTATAGTAGGTCAAAACTCTGTTTCACAGTACTACCTTGGTTGGTACCAAGAGAAAAATGAAAAGGCACATAAAGCTCTGATCTCCAGAACAACAATCAGATATTCAGGAATCTCCTCCAGATTCACTGGAGCAGGAAATGGAATAGACTTCAGTCTGACAATCAGTGGGGTTCAGGCTGAAGATGCTGGAGTTTATTACTGTCAGAGTGCGCACTACATTAACAGTCAGTGGGTTTTCACACAGTGAAAAGTTATTGTACAAAAACCTCCCTCAGTCTGACTGTACAGAAACTAAACTTTGTTGTGCAGCTGGAATCTACTGCAGAGACTGATACAGTCTCTGTAGGCCATCAGTGGAGTAAAGGCTGATGATTGAAGAGTTTGTTACGGTAAGCAGAGCAGAAGCTCATTCACACAGTGATAGAACATCATAGAAGATATTCCCTTACCTGCAAAGAAGTAGATCTGACTGAAATTTCTTTTACAGATCAATCTTTTCTTATTTTGTTTATTCTCAATTTAAGAAGTAAACCAAATACAAATGTAAATAAAAGAACACACAATTTAAAACCTTGCAGTATTTTAGTAATCTTTCATTTTCTACCAATGAAGTTATTGAAATACTCCAACACTACTTGAAGTTTAACATTTAAACTAACACACTTCTTTGACGCCTATGTTGATCAGTGGCTGTTTAGGCTTTTTGGAGCCACTGAGATTAGATTATTGAAACAAGTTTATTTTCTTAAATGATACAATTATTCCAATTATTCATGCAGTTCTGTTGCAGATCTCTAAATTGATATTTATTAATAAATTATTATTGGCTTATTTATTAATACCATGTATTAGATCAACAAGATAAAAATAAAGGTCTATGTGTGAAAGATAAAAGTCTTTTTATAAATATTTTTGACACACAGGAACATTTTGCAACCAGCCAACTGAACAAATAAAAAGTAAATAAAAGTGTCTGAATGGATAAGAAAATATATGATTAATGGCAGAAAAACTACCTTTTAGGGTTATTGAAATAGTAGGTAGATGGCAGAATTCAGTAAGTAAATGTTTATTATTTAAATTGTGACCAAACATCAGAGGACAAATGACACAATAAAACTAAAGAATAATCAGAAGAGAAAGAGTGAGAGCAGTGACATATTGAATCCATTATCATTGTCTATGTGAATCAGGTCCACACTGGCAAGTGTTGTTTTGTATTAGAGTTGTAATAAACAAAGAACGGACAGGTTAATTAATCAATAGATACTGGAAGATTTTTCGGGTCTGAATAAATTTATTTAAAGATGTTCTTTTATGAATTGTCAAATGAAATAAAGGAGCTAGTGAGGGCTATTACTGTAGCTTAAACAATCTTCTGACAACACCATATTTGGCTTTGTATTCAAGTGATTTATTTCATTTTTTTCAAAGAATCAGCCCTGAATCACCTGACTACAAAACCAAATATAGTGTTGTCAGTATATTGTATCAGATTGTGTTGGTAAATATGAAGCCCTCATCAGTGAAAGGACAATAACACAATCCACCATGACAGCAGAAGGAATTAAGTCACTATCCTGGTTTAACAGATCAGTCTATCTCCAGAAGACAAGTTAGGATCCAGCCGGAGGGCTG